GTTAGAAATTTTCGAAAAACCGAAATTCTGATTTTTCCACACAGGTTTTGATATGTTATCACATTTACAGTTTTAGAAACCCTGTAACGCAAAAAGTAAGAGATAAAAGTAAGGGGAACAAGCACATCAATTATTCCTTACGACCAACAAAGCAGCTTAATCTTTCTTTCATTTTTTAACCTTTACATTTTCCCCTTGTTTAAGAAATATAAGAAAAGTTTGACTATTTAAGGATGGAAAGTAGGATTTTTTTTGCAGTATAAAATATGGAGTGACACGTACTCAGGTGGAGAATTTCGACATGGTAATTTTCTTAAGGAAGAAAAAGTAAGAAAAGTGACATGTTCTGCACGATTCATGTCGCATAAGATATTTGTCTCACTTTTAGCTTAATTGCCACCACGAGTAGAGGAGTATTTTTAGGAGGAGAAAGTCCAGAATGGGGGTACTCAAGCCAACTCATGTTTGGAAATACTTTACAAGCTGTGCATAAAGTTATAAAGTCCCCAAAAGTTTGAACAAAATAGAAAAAAATATTAAGTCAAAATACAGTAATTGATACCACTTGTTTTGATGTTAAATAACTAAACTGTTCAATCTTCTAATTTTGAGTTCATTTAATTTAATATTGAATTGCACTATTTTCTTCATAGTTATTACGCTTTTAACTATTTTAACGTGACATCGGTCTATCTATAAAGCACAAATTAAATACAAGAATATAGGGATAAACGTAGTGAAAAGGCTGGGCAATTATTTAGCGTGTGGTTTCTGCTTTCTCTCTCATTGTGCTTGCAAGTCATGTCTCGCGTGTCAAGTCATTCCCTGAGAGAGAGAAAGTGAAATGGAGAGAAAACAATGACACGGAGACAGCCAGGTCATATAAGCAGCCGACCAGAAGGGAAAGCACTTTATGGTCGTCGTAATCAAGACAAAAACAAGAAAGTATGCCCACGTCCAGCTGGGATTCCAAAAATATATGAGAATGACGCAACACAAAAGAAATAGGAAAAAAATTCGCAGCTCCCCGACCCAGCCAAAACATTGAAGAAAAAGGCTTGCTGAGTTTTCGCTTCTCTCCATGCACTAAAAAACTAGACCTTTTTAAAATTGTATTAAAATCCGTTCTTGCAGTTGGAAATAATCGATTGAAATCCTACAATTTTTTTAACTGCATTGCCAAAAAACAATGTAATTTGACTTTTTACGACACGACCCAACCCAATCCGCGCTTTTAAGTGTGTCCAACAAATAATTGTAATAAGCTCTTAATAAGCTTTAAAAGTAAGAAACTCAAATTCCTTTCTACACGTGGACACAATATTTTCAAAATTTTAGTTTTTAGATTCCTAGAGAACGTGCACTTTGTTATATATGTATTATTATTTTTAAGAGTAAAAATTTGCAATCTTTTGTTTCAAGTTAGACCAGTTATAAAAGAAATAACAAGCTTTTGGTTTTATTCTTACGTAACAATTTAAGGGCCTGGGGGAAGTTGCTTAGAAATCACGTCAACTTTGACGATAAAATTCAGCAATGCACAAGAGGGCAGATTTTTTAAATTATGTTTAATGCGTTAATCATATCTTTAAATTTTACTTGAGTTTTTTTTGACGATCTGCCCTCTTGTGCAGTGGAGATATTTGGTCGTAAAGTGAGGACAAATTGGCTTAGAATTGCCAAATTAATGGCAGGAATTGCATTTTGAGTATCCATGGAACAAAAGAAACAACTTTTTTCAAAAACTCGAGGGACTTGAGGGAAACTTTTTCAAAAGCAGTGACAAAACCAAAGCTTTTGAACGTGAGTGTCCCATAGAAACGGTGTCAATTAATTGTGGTCGTAACCTAACAGAGCGGTAATAATCTTGGGGCCCTGGCAATTATTGTTGCTAACATAAAATCAAGTAAATCTTCCCCCGGGCCCTTAAGCTTACGCAATAAGCTTTATCCAAAAATGTTTCTATATTTAACATTTTTTAGGAAATTTAAATGTTGAGTTAGAGCTACTGAAATTTCAAAAAATATTATGCTTTACATTCAATGGACTTTGACAAGTTGTTAGTTATTACAATATTACTTGAATTTCAGAAAAATTCACTTTTTGAATTTTAAGACGTAACCTTTGCAATAACATTTCTTATCAAATCATTTGCACTCTATTTTATTTTCTGTCCAAAATTTCATTTCGTGAAAATAACTTCGAAAATAAGTTTTTTCCAATAGAAGAAATAACTCCTTCAAAATGTGACTCCAAAATTGACAAACTTTCCCTCATTGAAAGTTTAAAGTTTAAAGTGGGTTGAACAACTGTTAGTGGAGGAGAAAGTGGGGCTGTTGAAAGTTATGAGAAAATTATCCCAGGCACGAGCGCACAGCACGCAGGTTGGGAAACCAAATGTAATAAACAAGTGCAGGCAAAAGTACTCGAGTGAAAATATTTAGACTTGAAAATCTTATTTCCTCCATGACACAGCTGCCTTTTCGAAAGAAAAACAAGGGAAAATAAAAATAAAATGAGAAAAACAAAGAACAACTTTCACTCAGAAATTACAAAAGTCGAACATGCTTTGTTCCATTTTCTTGCCATGTTTTATTAAGTGAGAGGCAAGAAGAAGGGAGCGGATGTAAAAGTGAAAATGGAAGTATGATGAAAAATTTATACAAAATAAGAACAACAGATTTCTTCAGAGAAGGGACATTATGAAAGAAACGGTAATGTAATATCGGCATCGATCCACCTACTTACTTTGTTCACTTTTTTGGGAGAAAGTGTCGTTAAAAACTCGTTAAATGGGGCATAATTATGTTAAAGAGGTGAGGGAGCTAATGCACTAGCTTGTACTTTTCTAGCTACGTTATAACTTTCCTTCCAGGAGAGTAAGTTTTGCAATTTTGACACACAAAAAGTTTGGCAGGATGGGGTTTTACAATTTCTAAAACCAGTCTGGTCCTATAACTTGACGCGAAATAGTAAATTTTGCTTTTTTGGAAACTCTAAACTCATGCATACATTTTTTATCTACAGGTAAATTAATTAATTTTTAATCTGAAAATCTGCTAAATTAAAATCGGTCTTAAAGCTGGACTGGACATGGTTCTGAATATTTTGATCTTTTGCAAATTAAATTTTTTCATAACTAAAAAATAGTTCGAGCCCCTTTTTCGTAAAATAATTTTTCCCAAAAAGTTCTACCCGTTCCAGTTTCCATTACTTTTATTTCATTCCATTCACTGCACAGATTTGAAAATATTTCACACTTTGAGTGAAAGAGAAAGTTTTCGGATTTGGTTTTAGTTCAGCGGTGAAGCTATCTAGGTAAATAGAAAAATGGTGAAAATCGTGGTGTGAACGGGTGGATGAATTAATGTTGTGGATGAATAGGTTGAAATGAAAGGAGGGATTGAAGATTGTGTGAATAAAATCTTATACGGAATGTAAACTTACTCGTGCATGGGCGGCTTTCTCTCTTAACTCTGGCGAAAGAAAGGGAAGGAATGCGGGAAATTTGTATGAGTTACATTCCAATATTTTTTATAAACCATGCAAACGGAAGTAAGTTACGCATTATAGGACGAAAAATGATGAACAATGGGATTTTCACGACTTTCGTAAATAATACTGTGGTAACTTTCGTAAATAATACTGTGCTAAAGTTTTTTTTAATCTCCATTTGCACGTATCAATTTTGCGTATTTTTACGAAATGTCTTAAGGATCGAATTTTTGTGAATGACGTAAATTTATGACGTTTACTACAGTTACGAAGTTAACGTAAAAACCCTGTATTGTAATGTCGTAATCTTTGTAAACTTATGGTAGAAAGAAACTTTTACGACCTGATTTGTCTATTTTGGTGCGTCGAAACGCTGGTATCATTTTACTCGTAAGTTAAAAACCATTGCGTGATTTGCATCAATGATCTGAATGTCGGAGCGCTTTGGTCTGATTAACCACAAGAAATTATTATCTAAATGGGCTATCTAATAACTCTCCAGTGTGCAAAAATATTCTTACTGCCGTGATAAATGCACACCTGTTTTTGCAATTTAAATACGCAGAAGGTGTATATCTGTAATTTTATAACAGATTTCCAACCTGATTTTTTCTCTAACTTGAAGTATAAGCTTACACATCTGACAATTGTGAGTGATTTGAGTCAGTTAATCAAATTACTGGGTTAGTAATAACCTAAAGATTACAATTTATGCTCGCAGAAAGCCTAGGATTGAACAATTACTAAAAATAAGAGATAAAGTTAGTCTTCTGAATTGAAATTAAGCACTCGTAAAGTTTCTCAGGAGAAGAAAGTGGCGGAAACGGATGTCGGAAATGGGAGATCGTTCCTCTCTCTTATCTTCGACACGTGCTCGAGCTCATCCCGTCCACCAACGGTGCAATGCATCCTCCAACAGTTCCAAGCACTCTAAATAACGTGGTAACAAATGAATGAGCACTGAATCCATACTACAAATAAGTTTTGACTTCATTATAAAAAACGTTTTAAAAAATTGAGGTTGAATTTGAAATCATAAAATTTCGAAATATTTACACCAGATGAAATTATGAACACAATTATATATTTACAAACCTCTAATGTTAACGCCGCTCTGAACATTGAGTATCTTAAACATTTTTAAGGTTCATCCAATTGGAACTATTTTTTTTACTAATTCCTATAATTTTCCAGAATTTGTATTTGTATTTATTTTTCGCTGAAGTTTAACGCCGAGCATGGAAAAGTTAAACGCTGGCAAAAAAATAAATAGAAAAAGATGTAATCCTCGACATATCTCAATAATTTTATTGCGAAAAAAAATATCCCTTTAAATTCTGCACGCTAAACGTTCCCCAGTCAATTTAGTATGCAAAAATAAACCCAACACTTCTCGCATGATTCCTCTTCCAACTCGTTATTGGGTTTTGGCATAGCTCCTCAGTCCATAAAACGAGTCAATCTTGTCTGTCGAATTTATTGGAACTCCTCTCATTTTGATTTAGACGTGGCTGACTGATCACCCCTCCACTCACTCCAACAAGACGGAGCAGAAGAAGAAGGAGATAGATACGTGCCACCAAGAAATTGTGCGTCTCTGCTACGTACGTGATTCCACCCGATAAAGTAAACTTTCTCCCCCGGCGAAATGATCAAGAAAGAGAAGGAGAAAGTAAGTTCACTGAATAAATGAGGATGAAAAACTGTGTCCACTTTCTCCCACAAAGTTTCGCCTGCTGGACTTCCCCTCCTCGGGAGGGAGCCCCATAGAAAATGCTATAATACCCTCCTCCTCACGCGGATTTTCTTTCTATTTGAAGAGAAAAATAAACATTTTGATTCCTTTAAAATGCAAGGAAAATGTTGGGAGAAGAAACTCGTGAACAAGAAGTTGAGTGAATTTGTAGTGCAAATAGTAGCGAAATTAGTGTGGAGGGAGTGAAAGTAAGTGAGTTAAGCTGAAGAGTCTCTTCATTAAGGAAGTGAGTGCGACGAGAGTATTGCTCCCGAGCAGTAATCCTGATGGGGAAAGCGGGCCGTGGTGGTCGTGGTGGGAGAAGAGGCTGCTTGATAAGCATCACCTTGGTCGGCCTCCTCCTCCTCCTCGCACGGAGTGAAAGTAGTGAAAGTGGAAAAGTTCTCGCCACTGGAAATGTTAATCGTGGCCAGGATGGTGATGGTGATGATGGGGGTGAAGAAACGACCACGACCACGGTGAGCCCAGCCGATGGGTTGGCGAGATCCTGGCTAAATGCGACGAGAACGGTGGAAGAAGAAGATCCGTTTAAGGATTTAGTGTCGAAAATTCCGAAATCGGGGAAGAGAAGTAAGTCTAATTTTTCTTTTACGTATTTGTGTATTTACTTATATGCGTTTGTTGGCTTATTTTGTGGCTTAGCTTTTGCAAGTATTATTTTCCTAAAGCGTGAAAACATAATGAGCGGGATCTGCTTAAGAAAGTTTGGAGACTCCTTTCGTAATCTTTCGAAAGTGTGGGAAACAAATGAAGTTTATCAAATTTATTTGTTACAAACTTCACATTTTCCCTAAAGGTTGGAATACTCTGTAGAGTATGACGTAATTCTCGGAGATATTTAGCAGGAAAGGTTTGTATTGTACAATTATCAAAATTCTGGCATATCAAACAGTGCTCGAATCGTGGTGTAAAATTATGATACGAAAAACGCATGCTATAAAAGGAGCAATTTTATGAAATACAAATATTATCTGATTGAAATAGGTCGGTAAAATAGTTTTTAATAAGGTGGCAGTACCACATAGTATAACGTGGAGACATCATTGGTCATCAAGTAATCAAGTTAGCATGGCCCTACAATTCGTTCGGTGTAATTTCCAGGCTGAAAATGCCTTAAAGAAGCAGGAACTAAAATACGACAGCTTCCGGCGGAAACACGAAGAATGAAATTTCAAATGGAGAAAGAAAAAATGATTTAGCACACAAGGCAAAAATGGAAAAAATTGAGTTGCGGAAGGCTTCAGGGCTTGAAAAAAAACTGAAGGGACTTAGGAACTTAATTACACATCGTGTGTAGCCTTATATATTTTTTCCAATTTTGTAAAGCATAATAACTGAAGAGACTAGGACTATTCTGTAGGGACTTAGGAACTTAATTACACATTTTATAGGTAGTCTTATATTTTTCCCCCATCTTGTAAAGCATAATTCCAGCCTTAAAAATACATAATTTCAGCAGAGAGCTTTATTTTTGAAAATCAAGCCCGTAATTTTTGGACGAGCCATTTATCACCCACTCTCCGAAGAAGAAGAAGAAGAGGATGGAAATTAAGTGGTAATTATTCCCCCCGTTCGCGAAACATAATAACAGTTTGGGTGTAATGGTGGATCGCATTATGATGCCAATTTTGTCTCCAAGTCGATGTCCTCCTGCAGTGTAATTTACTTCTCCTCCGCGTATGTACATACTATACGAAGCCCTTTATTGACTGGCTTCATTTTACTCTACCTCTCATCCTGAGTGGCTGTATTGAATACAAAGTGTGATTCCAGCCATACAAAGCTTGTGGGTGGCAAAATATGTACCCCAGTGTTTTCGGGGCTGTACATAAATTTTGTGGGGGTGATTTGAATGTCGTTTCCGGTATAAAATATGGTTGCAAATTTGTCACCAAATCGGATTAACTATTAATACATTTCAATTAAAGTTACTTTTTGACAATATTTTTTTTTACTAATTTGACTTTTGTCGAAATTATGATTATTTTTTGGCTGCGTAATAGTTACGTCAGCATCTGTCGTTATTATGATCAAGTTTTTTTACTTTTTGTATAGCTTGTGTAAGGACTTTGATACAATTTTGTACCGGAATTTAGTGCCATTTCGTTGCATATTTTGTTGAGTTTTGTGATAAATTTCTGTATTTTCTTGCAGGAACTGTTTACAGGAATATTGCGAAATAATTGAGTCTCACTTTTTCCCCTAAGTTTAACACCGATTATTATTTTTATATAAAGTTTATATTGCCTTAGACAGTGATTGAATAGCAATTTGATTTGTTTAAATTGTAGAATCGTCCTATATATTCAGGCACGAAATATAAGGAAATTTGTCCTTGGCTCGTTCTTTTGGTAGGAATTTTGTGCGAGTAGTAAAATAAAAATTGATGGCGGAGTGGAGAAAGCACTCGCGGATCTCTCAGTGGGGAAAAATGGGGCCGAAGAGGACACGTGTCTCATTTATGATCTCTGCAACTCCTGCTCAGTGGGGCGTATGTTAAACGGTTAGTGGATCGCGTCGGATAGTCCTCGTCCGCAGTAGCTCCCACTTTTTGGCCTCCCTTATTCTGACAGGGTTTAAAATTTCCAATCCATCTGGGAAATGGAAGAATTTTGCGAGTATTTTGTGGAAAATGGGAAATATATTTGGAAATTTTCGCAAATTGGTAACTTAACAAGCGTTACCTAATTTTAGTGATTTCGCAAAATTTTTTTTTACAAAGTGTTTGATTCTTATACTAAAAATTACCATCACTTGACATATTTCGGTTTAGTAAGATTATTTCGCAAATTATTTGCGAAATGAGTTGCGACGCGTTTTTGTCATTTCGCTCAATATTTTCCGTTTGAGGGTAAAATGGAAATTTTCAACTTTCTTACAGGAAATTATTCCCAGTCTGTGAAATCCCACTTTTTTAAACCCTACGAAATTTCTTGCTGTATGAATCTTCGCAGCACTTTGGCTTCCACTTATTCTGGAAAGGATGAAATGGTTTGAGAAATTTGAGACGATTTTGTCCCCTTCCTTTGTTACGGATTGATGTAGCGAAAAATCTTGGCAGCTGTGCATGAAGGATGAGATTGGTTTCTGGTAGGGGAATGCTAACCTTGACGTGATGGAGATTGGGAAAATTGAGATCGTTTTGGTCATGCAGGGCCCTCCGAGTGAATAAGAGTCAAAAATAATTTATTTACTGGAACATCATAAATATACCTATTTTTAGAGTGGGAGGAAAATGGAAAAAATAGAAAATGGACAAGTTAGAATTACACAATAAAAATTTCACGGTTTTTGAAAATTTATAACTTCAAGTCAAAACTAGGGCAAAAATGAATGAAAAATATTTAGACGCTTTCATTTAAAAATATAAACTAAGAAATTTATTGGTCATTTCGAAATATCCATATTTCCTAGCATATTACTTAAGTAGAATAAAATGCAGCATTGATTTTTCAGAGAAATATTGGGCGTATTCACAACACAAAACCTTTGAATATGTAAGTAGCTCGCAAATCCAGGAGGCTGATTTTTGTTTGCAAATTTTCGCAGTGACGTATTTCGCATCATTATTTCACAAGATATTTGCTAATAGTTGCAATAAAAAAAATAACTCGTGGGTAACGTTATCTGTATATCGAAGACATACTGCAAATATAATTATAATCATCAATTATAACTGGCAATTATTGACATGGACAACTAAAGTGTCAAGATTGTAATGGTTTCTTCCACATGTGTTATCGAGTGTCACTAACGTCGTATTGCTTGATAAAATTAGCAAATGATTTTTTGATGTGGTGTGGGCCCATCGCTAAATTCATATCGTTTTTCAGAATCCACTGCAGCCCTAAATTCACATTTTTATGTAATAAAACTACAAAATATTTGGCACCGTGGTAAATTATCAATCTGTGCTTCAAGTTTAATCTGCTACAAATTTTATACAATATGTGTTCCTAAATCTGATCATACGTAGTTTTATTTTCTTGTGCTTCAGTAAAACTTCCGAGTGTCAACTTTCTCTTGCTTTCTGTCTAATTCGTTTTGTACTTTGTCAAAAGCAAAAAATCAGTCGTATCAAATCCTGCTAAAAGTTTGGAAAGTAAAAAGTAAAATCTTTCAAGCAGTGTGGTGTAGTTCACTCTAAATAATTCGATAACAATATTATAACGCTGTCAATTCTTGCTCTTGGCTACAGTTTTTGGGTAACAAATTCGAGTAAAATTATTAGAACTAGCGTAAACAGTCGTCTTATCTGCGAAGTTATTACTTGCCATGAATCCGTGTCAAATTAAAACTAGGACATAATATCGGTAATAAAACTTGGTACCGAATTATTTACTTGGTGCAAATTGTTACCACATTTATAAGAGTTCGAGTACTTGAGAAAATCAGGGAAGAAAAGAAATAAAGAAATCTAGAATTAATTCCAGTCCAGCAGAAGTAAACTTAAACCATAATATTCTCCAGTACACTAAATTTCCTTCGCTTTTTGTAAAAAAGAAAGGGAAAGTGTGGAGCTTGGAAGAAGAGGGATTTTTTCCACAACGGAGAGGAGAAAGGACGGAGAGAAAGTTGCCATAAAATAAATAACTCTCCAGCAGTGAGGTACTTTCAATCTGGGAGAAAGTTGTTGTTTGCTGGATATAGGTGCTGGCAGCTTGAGCAGGTGTGCCTTCCAAGGTGCTCCACTGCCCGGGGTTTCGTATTCTGCTTTCTTGAGCATTTCGTATTTTTCGCATTGTTTTGTGATGTGTCTGATTTTGTATATTGTAATATTAAGTGTATTATTCGTGTTTTTTTAGGGATTTTTCTGCGTATTTTGTACCGTATTTTTGTTGTTTTGAAGTGAATTCCATATTGAACATATTTTTTCTCATTTTTTGCATATTATCTTAAATTAAGTTTTATTAAGTCTGCATTTTTTGTGTAAATTGCTTTGCTATGTACAGAAAAATTAGAAGTTTCATATTGTTTTTCATATTGGGTGTTTTTTTTAAATCCGTATTGTTGAACCCTTCCAAAATTTACATCCGTCGTACACACTTCTAATCTACTCTCTCTCTTTCTCTCCGTTTCCACTTTCTCCCGATTCCTGCCCGTGTTGAGACCTACTCGACGACATAGTTTTCTTGAGTGACGAGGAAACTTTATAATTTGCTTTCTTCCCATTTTTTGTAATACTCGCTGGTTTGCTCATTCGCATTATTTTCTTGCTCTGTTTGCAGGTGGGCGGAGCAGCGTGTGTAAGATTTCCGAGTTTGGATGTCGCATCGGGAAGTGCATTTCGTCCGATAAATTTTGCGACGGAGTCGACCACTGCGGAGACGGGAGTGATGAACCCAGATTTTGCACACGTAAGAAGAAGAAATTACATAATGCTAACTTTCTCTTTTTGATTCTACGATTTTTTAGTAAATTTGGCCATTTGAAATCGAGCCATGTATTAACAAAATGTAGGAAAGACACATCTCTACCGTGTTACCGAATGATAAAAATAATTGTGCATACAAATTAAAATGGGAAATTTGCTCCAATTTATTATTTCCTTAAGGAAACAATCGTATCTGGTTTATATTTATTAAAACACTTTTTTCGCCAAAACAATTAATTTTGATTCACAAGGCCAGAATCTCAACGTTTTAAACGGTACATAATCAATCATGGAAATTAAAAGTGGTAGCAAACTTTCCCAAAACGAGGAAAAAACTTTGCGATTAGATTTTTGGACAATTTTCTGTAAAAAAACTACTTAATCCAGAAAGTGCAAGGCTTAAGAAAAATAGATTTTCTCAGGGTAAAAGACCACATTTCGCTGGGAAAAAATTCAAATGCCGTATATTCTAGTCCCATAAAATGCATTTTATGATAATGATGACGATGTTGTAAAAAAGCAAGATAAGAAAATTGCATTAATTGATATTTTAACGATTTCGAGGACACCATTGGAATATTGGTGAGCGTCATGAACCCCATTTTTTTACCCAGAAAACTTTTTTTCTCCCAGAAGATTTCTCATGTTTTTCTTCTTCTAAAGAACTTTCTTCGCTCCGAGAATAGCCAGAAATGGAGTGAGTGAGTGAGTGAGTGGGTGAATTCGAGATGAATTAAACTTTGGTAAATAAAATCGATCGGAATTCTCTCCTCTTTTCTAATTCAGTTTTTGAGCCTCTAAATATAAATTGAGATGCAGGCCACACACTTGATCGATTCCGGTTTAATTCTGGTCTTGAATTTATGAGGGATTTGAACTGGTGAAAGTCTGCTTTCTCTTCCTCCCAATCCTGACTTTTACTCGGCACAAGGAAACGAGCTAAAAACTATAACACACTCTAAATAAGGCATCCTTTAAAATGCCCGGGTATATAATCTCTTATCCATTAGATACCCCTCATTTAGTAATGAGATGGTACATATATCATTTTATAATAACAGCTTCGTCACAATACGATAATTAGGTAGCATATCGTCAAAAAACGTAAATTTTACCTAACAGTTTGTCCATGTTTTCTGCACTTTGGCATTTCTATGATTTTGTGCTGCATATTATAAGAAATGCATGGATATTATCCAGTGAATATGGATGCTATCAATTTTCCTGACATTTATTACCAATAGCTTACGTAAGTGTTACACCATGATTTATGTAATGTTCTACCAGATTGGTTATATATTGTAGAAATCCGCAATGATACGTATTTAGTGCTTTACCAAATAATGAGACATTATTTCAATTTCCAAGCCGCAGTAGTTTTTACCAACACGTTATGTTTCCAAACTGGTAAAAATACATGTCACTAAATGACCAGTTGCTAACCCACGGAGAGAAAATAGTTATATTTTACCGAATTTCTAAGGGTGCTCTGAAGGAGTAAATTCAGCCGAGAGAGGAAGACGAGTTAATCTTTAATAATAAAAGCGAGCCGAGTTGAATGAGGCAATAACCGTGAAATAAAATGTTAACTGTAGTGAAAGCAAGTGAAACCGAAAATGCTGAGCTAGTCAGAGAAACTATGAAAGAAATTATTGTCGTCATTGCGACTCCCAGTTCACTCTGCTTTTGGCAGCATCATCCTCCTCTTCAAATACCAGATTCTCCTCCGCCAAAATACAAAAGTTGGCCAGTTCATTTCCGTCAGCGCTTCATTTCCGCGAGGTATATAACGGAAAAGAGATACGGCTTCTCTAACCTCACGCCGATGTTTGTAAACTGTGTAAGGATTTAAAAATTATTAGATAGACTTCGAAATTATGAAGAGACTGATTGTGGTGACAAGTTTACGGATTTAGAAACTCGGATTACAAATATCCGAGTCAATCATGTAAAGTATTCGTGATCCTAAAAATATGTACGTTTACACCTCTAATAGTTTGACAATTTTCATTTTTTGAGTAATTTGGATGCCATTCGTTAAAAAACTAAATATTTGCTCACTTTAAAGACTCAAAGGTTCCTCATTCTTTCTCTTTTGGTAAATTGATAGGAAGTAATAACTACGAGGCAACCGTGCAGACGTACAAATTTCATCCTTACATACATACTTACGTACATACATCTGCGTAGTAATGTTGCACTTGAAATATTTTTTCCCTTGTAAATATACTTTTCACTCTCCCTTTTATTCTACTTTTACTTTGTTCAGCGGAAGAGAGAGACCACTCCGGCTCGGAAGAGAGAAGGAAAACATTGTTGAGCTGAGAGGAAGCGAGCGAGGACTTATTGAGTTATGAATTCTAGTCTTTGATGCATTTTTTTATTAAGCCGGGAGCATATTTACCCCCCGCAATGTAGGAGTGGGAGCAAAGAAGAAAAGGAGAATCAAGTAAATGGGAACATAATAGTGATAAAAAAGACAAAAGAAATCAATTTCTCCTACCACGACGGAGAGCATAATTTTCATGTGGAAGAGGAGGAAAAAGTAGTAAAATTTTCTGGCTGGCGAAACTACTTTTTGACATGGCATGACACTTCATACCCTTTACATTCATACATTTCCTCCCCAGAAGAAGTTCTCGTGGGGTAAAAATGTGTATGTACATGCGTGAGATTTGTGGAAACAGGAACGTTTTGTAATTTTTTATGGTCCGTTTGTTGGTTGCTTAATATGTTTTCCGGATATGTCTTTTGTGTGTTACCACTGTGAAACTCACCTTACAATCTATTCAAGTCTAAGAACTTCGTATAATTTTATACAGTTTGCAAAGATTGTATTTGATTACTCGGAATAATTTTGGGATTTCTATTTATAAGTCAACCGCCAGATAAAAAATTGTTACCGGACAGGTTTTTCAAAAAAGTTCAGATAAGAATTGTTTGCACCCAAATTAATCTGGCTGAAATGTTTATGTATTTTAGCGTGTAACCGGACGTACTACGGGGAGTGGGGGTGGACGTATTCCATTTCGCTGTCATCCGCCACCATCGCGGCGGCCCTGGGGCTGAGTCACGAGCAACAACTACTCGCTGGTGACCAGCCAGCGACGTCGTCGTTTGGGGGCTCTGGAAAGGCGAAAGGTGGGGGCATGTCCAGACTGAGAAACTTGACGAGCAAAGGGGGCCTTTTTGCGAGTGGGGGGATCACGACATCTTCGACGACGTCCACACCGCAAATGACGGCGTCGCCTCTACCGCCAGTTAAAAGACCCGGATTACCACCACAGTTCGTGTGCCAGCTAACCTTCGCCGCAGCGGGAGACAATTTCGGAGATTTTATCCAGGTAATTTATTAAATCATTCATTTTTAGACAAATATTTGGACAAAGTTGTGCGAAATGATGAAAAGTTTTGACGTTGGACACAAAATTGATAGGGAGATACAATTTTGCAAAAAATTACGGGGTGACATTTGGAGTTATAATTAGCTAAGTATGATTTACAGATTATGCAGATAATGCAAATCTAGATTTATTTTTGAACGTACAAAGTGTGGAATTATTTTAAGAATTGCAAATATCGAATTCTACTTTATAGCTGCTCAAAAAAATTGCAAAAGATAAGTATCTCCATCCACTTTACTTCTGGTGGATTTACTCAAATTTAATATCGAGTGAAGTGGGACCACAAATCTGAATAAAATGCGTTTCTTGTTTTCTTCCCTAAATCTACATTGAATCCGAAGAAGTAGAATCAAATCAAAGACGGTTTCTTCCAATTTCACCATTTCATTCCACAAGTTGATCTCAATTGTTTCCATTTTCTCGGGAAAATTGAGTGAATTGAATCGAATGGAAATCAAGTTGGTATATTTTTCCTCTTTACTTCATTTTATTGCCGTTCCACAAATACATACATGACAAATCCAGATGCACATTCCTTCCAAACGTATCCATTATGAAAGAAAAGAGACAGTGTGTCGTACACAATTCACTCATGAACATATTCGAGTTACATAAAAAGAGAAGAGAATATGCTAAATTGTGCAAAATTCTTGCATAATTTTGGCATAAAATTACAAACTTGTGTAAGAAATAACACAATAAAGCTTTGCATTTGTAAAGAGCGGAAATTTTCAAGGTCCGTCAAACAAAATCAACTTTAAACAAGTTCGAGTTGAATTTAGACAACGGGAAAATTTTGAGTTTGCAAAATTTTTAAAATTTTACAAAGTTATCGTGAATTTCGTTGCTCGTAATATTTCTGCGCTTTTTGTGTGCATGAAATAGCCGTGAACGTTGCAACACTACTGCTCATCTGGATAAGGACGAGTGAAAGTCGAGACTGCATGCATGCATACGTAACTCGCCAAAAAAGAGAAAGGAATGAATCAGAATGAGATGTGGAATCAGGAACCTGCGAAATCTGGTTCCGACTTGGATCCAGAGCCTCGAGGGAAATCAGATTAAAATAAAATACAAAAAAAACAAGCAGAGAGGGAGAGACCACACATTATTTAAGAACGAGTGAATAAGACCCAGATCAAAAAATTGTCCAGAAATCCATCAACTTCTTCTTTCTGAGAAAGGTTGGATTTGAATTTTTAAGATGAGTAAGGCGAGATTCTGCTCAACTTTTCAAGTGAAACGTAGATATTTGAGCCGGTAAACACTAAGATAATTTAGGAACTGCTTCCTGGTAGCTTTGCAAAGTCGGGAAGTTTTGTGCAGTAATTTTGTTAACTTTTACCGTAGAGATCTTTGTTCATACGGGATAGATTCATAACTTGATTTTCCTTCGTAATCCATATTTGAAAATTTGACTAGGTTACAAACATCGAAGTCAATTACTTAACCATTTGTCTAATTTACAGATATTCGTATGCATAAATTAATCTTATCCACTTGGAAAATAATATATTTGCGTCTTTAAAGCTTTGAAAATCTAAAGTGTTTTAGTTGACCAATTTTTGCGCCGTAGATAGAAAAATTTAATATTTATTTAACGTACAAATTTTGAGATCCATTCCGCATAAATTGTAGTAATTTAATATATACTTAAGGATTAGGAATACAAAATATACATGAACTTACACAAACTATGTGCTTAAATTAATTTATGGAGGAAAATTAACAGAAAACATAAACTGCAAATATTTGTGCCATTTTTTACAACCGATTTGCGATAATTTTAAAACTTTTGACGTGAGTAAACCTAGAGGAGAGGTTTTCGTGGTTTCGTAACCTGTGACGAGTGGATGCAGCTGGTAAAGAAACAAAGATACGAATCCGCCCAAGACATATTTCCTCTCTGGCAGGACCAGAATACAAATGACGGGAACGTACACAAATGACGTATCCCGGATCGGTAACGATTTGTTACCCAACAGCTTATCCACAAAATTCAATCTACGCATAGGCAGTGGGGCGGTGAGAAAGTAAAAACGCCAATTTCTGTATATCGTTCGCTTATAATTGTGTTAACGGACTATTGATAATAAATACCATTATCAAAGATGGGTTGAAATGTGATAAAAAAATCTATGGCATCCTGCTTGCACAGCCTCCGAGAGAAAGTCGGATTTGAAAATGAAATACAAAGAGAAATGCAATCGAATGACGATTTAGTCAGAAATGTATTTTATTTATTCCGCCCAAACTTTCTCTATCTCAATCCCTCCAGAAATTCCTCCTTTCAAAATTTCTCCCCAGATTGGATTCTGTTTCTGAGGGATGCGATTATTTATTTGTTTCTCACCCAGGAGAATTATGTACTCCCGTTAAAAATAAATGGAAAAAACTGCAGGTTAAATTCTGAAAATTGATTTCTCAACTAAAATGTGGGATTAACACGTCGTTTTGAGAAAATTTGTTGAAAAAAGTTAAATAATTTTAGGAAAGATGTTATAAATTTTTTAATTAATAAAAGATATCGGTTTCTTTTCATGGCGTAGAAACAGAGGTTTTGTAGTATTTAAAAATTCTTTAAATTTCACATCTGACTTGTCAAAAAGTGTATCAAACTTTAAAGTTTACACGATTTAACTTCAGTTTCATTTCTTGTCACTTATAAAATTCATTTCATTCAGCACCTCGTGCACATGCATTCCAAAGGGGCCTTCCACAAAGTATTTAATTGATTTCTGACAATATTTTAACCTCAGACCAACGTATGAAATGACAAAAAATAAGCTGTATTAATCAGGGGAGAAATTTGCCTTAACACGATCCAACAACGCGACGTGTGTAAATAATAATTTCGTACTATATAAATTAATGTTTAAAAATTGATTTCCCAAATCCTCAAAAATTAAGAGATACATAAATTTGAAAACGTGCGTAAAATGAAGACAATGAGTAACCGTAAGTCCTATAAATTTTTACGGAAGTTGATACTTATTGAGTCAAGTCAAGTCAACCTTTATTCAAGTGTTAATGGATATCAGTTTACAATAAAACTGGTTTGAAAACCATGACACATTAAGACTATTGAGTAACTTTAGAGCCAAACGTGAAATTTTAAGAATTTTGAATTATTTAGTTAAAAATAAGATACGATGTGGTTTTCCTATTAGTAAATGCGAGGTAAAAGAAGTAAAGAAGATACAAGTTAATCGATGGTATGGTGGAAAACATTGGCATTCTTCCTGCCGGTTCCCTCAGCAGCAGAAGAAGAAGAAGTTTATCTTATTTATTCATTCGATCAGTCACTGGGTCTGAAGCCTGTCTGGCGTTATGACCGAATTCTTGTCTCCTACGGCAAAACTGTCAAATTCAGAGAGACGCTCATTTTGTCCCCAGTCGTGTCCTTGTCTTCAATAAGTTTGGCCTACATGCCTTTTAAAGGAGCTGGCGGTTCGCTGACAGAGAGTGAAAGCTGGCAGAAAGTTTCAATACATTTTATTTTACGACGATTTCATTTTATTTGTGGGGAGAGAAACATTGTATTTTGTGACCAAGGCGACATCTGCTACCGGTCGAGATCCAGGTAGATTAGATTAGCCTGCAGGGAAAGACACCCTTAAAAATATGTTTTTTTTGTGACTCGGATGGTAAAAATAGTACCGGCATGAGAATAAAACACATCTGGCTGGATTTGGGTGGTAAAGGTTACAAAGGCAATTCAGGTAACAGCAGATCGATTGTAAAGTTACACAAATTAAGGGTGATTTTTTATTTTGCAAAAGTGTGCGTTGTAATTTTAACGAAACATGTACTTACTATTGACAAAATTACAAGTATCCGTGCGAATTTTACTAGTTAAGTGATTTTTGCAAAAACGTAATTCATAAATACTACTTTTCTTACAGTCTAAACTTCGTTATATTTGTAGTAAGAAATTTATGTTAGATTCTAGTTTTAAATTAAAAAATAATTACGAAATTATTGATGAAATTCCCTCTCACGTTGTTAAACTGGATAAAAATTTAGTGAAAGTAAATGGCATAATTCTATGGTTTAAAGAGATGCCAAATTCCTAAGAGTGTGAAATCTACTAAAAATCAGCCAAGAGAGGCAGAGACGGTTAGTCAGTTGGTCTCCCGAGTGGTGGAATATTTGGCTAGGGAAATATACGCACGCTTCCACTAAACGGTGGCGAGAGAGGGAGAGCTAGAGAAATGGAGAAATGGACGAAACAGTTGAACCAACAAAACTTGGAAACTTAAGAAGATGGCCTGGAAAAAACGATTAAGTATTCCGTCCCAGAACTGTCTAGACTTTCACTTTCTCGACCATAATGATACTTACTCTCCTGCTCCCTCCTCTCCCTACCTGCGAATTCAATTTATGCATCTGGCCGGATGGACGGATGGATGGGGGAAGAAAGTAAATTAATTTTTAACCCGGCGCTTTTTCGCGTGTTCAGCCCTACTTTGTGCTCTTCTTCTTAGGCCTGTAATTATGTAAAAGTAAATAAATAAGGGAGAAATGAAAGGAATGGAGATAAATATTTATGAAATTTTGAATGCATACGCGACGGAGGGAGGGAGGGAAATGAGCTGGCGGCGAGGAGAAAGTGGAAATAGTAAAATATGTAATTCTGGATTTGAAGAATGAGAAATTTTCAGTGCTAATAATTTTTTGGTAGAAACCTTTTCTGAAAAATATACGATGAGAATTTTGTAAAGCATGTATTATTTTTTTGGTTTATTGTGTATAAAATTATGCAATCGTTTCCGTACAAAAATAGTATTGAGTTATTCACGAGGTTCTTTGTAACCCAGTCAGATCCATAAACTTTTATACTTTTCCCTCTACATTTGCAATATCATGAAGAAAGTCTTGAATCTATCGTAATATGTAAAGTTAGGTAAATATGTAGATCACATGATTCTATTCATTCA